TTTTTTTTTTTTTTTTTTTTTTTTGGACAACTTTGTCCTGTTTAATGGGACTATTCCATTTAAAATAGTGCTTCTGCTGTGATACCTTTTCGTTTTCACTCTTAGATTCAGTCCATCTGCAGTATCTTTTGTACAAAGCTCTGCTGAATAATCAACATCTCTTTAAAAATTCTGTTATTAAATGTTGCTTCAATACTTACAGGAAATTTCATTTCTGTAAAAAACGAATCTGTCAATATCATGCTTTAAACAAGAAATTAAGTTACACTTTCAATGTTGCTATGCTTATAATGCTGCTTATCTTACCTAAGAGCTGGAGATAATATATTACTATCATAAAACACATGTTTTTGCTGTTATTCTCCACAGAGTAAAAATGAGCCTTACAGTCAGGGGGAGTACAATGTTTACAGCACTTTCCAGAGCCATGAACCTGAATTTGATTATTTGAAAAGCTTGGAGATAGAGGAAAAAATAAACAAGATCAAGTGGTTACCACAGCAAAATGCAGCCCACTCGCTTTTATCAACAAATGGTAAGACAGAAGAGGCTGTGTAGGCTCTATCAGCATTTTGTTCTTGTGCTGACTGTATACACGTAAAATCCAGGTTCATTTTATTCTTTTCTTTCAGTAATTTCCTGCTTCAGAGTTTACTGAGTCTCATATCTGTTATTTATAGATTTTATTCGTAGCTATCAGCTTTCTCCTGTTGATTCTCCATAACATTTGGAGAGCTATACCTTATTTGCTATAATGCAGTGCTATTCTGAAAGTAACTGTGAAAACTGCCTCACCTTACAGAGCAGTGGCAATTCATTCGGTATTTAGAATTTTGTCTGCTGTGTTTGTCATAATTTTTATCCTTTATAGATATGTAAATGAATGTAGGGAAGAGAGGTGAATTTCTTTTCATTCATTGTCATCAGAATGGTTTATTTAAGCTCTGAGGAGTTACAGAAGTCTTATACAAGGAAGGCAGTAGGAATAATATTAAGATATTGACACTGATTCATCTTTCCATCATACTTAAGACCTACTGATTAAAAAAAAAAAGCAATATCATAGTCATCCAGGAATATGCAGATATGACATAGTAGGAAGGAACTGAATAGATCCTTAGAGTCATTTATGAAATACTTGGACACACACAGCCTTTATTATTGCTGGAGATGTATAGGACAAAAATATCCAGTTTAATTCTTAGATCCCATTGTACTCAGAAAACACTTTTTCGTGGTAAAAAATGGAGCCTAAGTGGGAATTACTGATAGAAAAGTATTGTAATCCCACATTCAGGATTTAGCATTTTAGAGCAAAGCAAGTACATCTAGTTAGAGTTTTTTAGCAATAAATAATATCCACAGTAGTTAGCAGTGTATTATTTTATGTTTCATCATCTTTTTTCCTTAACAGTCACACATGCTCATGTTGGTCAGGTGGTAGGAGCATGCTTACTACTGGCTTACTGAGCCTGGTATCTTAAGGGAACTTTTGAGATATTGTCTTGCAGGAGGTTAGGATGTAAGGCACAGTTTTGGTCAAAAAAAAATGAGAATGGTGAAGCAGCATCCTGTGATTCTACAAAAATTCTCCTACAGAATATGGTCTTTCCCCAGACTTAAGTGACTATGACCCACTGAATTCTCTGGAAGAAGCATCCACGTGTTGAGGAGCAGGAGGGATGAGTCCATCTAACTTTCACCCAAGACTGGGAGATTCGACTGGTCTGCAACTGCCCAGATCTGCTTCCCTTTAAGGAAACTTTTGTCCAAGGCTGTTCTTGCACAGGTTTCCTCATGACCAGAGCGGGTCTTGATTCCTTTCCTTAGGAATACCTTAACTCCACACATTACCACCAAGTTATCAGCTAAGCTCTGACTGCAGCATCTTAATTAATGGACACAGAAGGAAACCAAAGGGGCTTTCAAATCCCACTGTAGATTTGCAGTGCTTGCAGTTAGCAAATTCCTGCTTTGCCTTGTAAAGTGAACTAATTTTGCAGTATGATAATAAATTACTGCGATTCACTGCTATCCTTTGCATCAGAATTTATTGGGGAAAAATTTCTGATGTGAACTACATTGAATATACCAGAATTTGGCCGATACAGATCCTTTCATCTGAGCATTGAGACTGCTTACCAGACATTAATTAATTTAAACTTCACAACACCCTTGAGACTGAATGAATACTAAGCCTCACAATGACATTTCTATACTTTGGAGAACAAAATCATGCTTAGAATTCCTAGGGAGTTTTGAAAGTCTGGAAGGCAGATGAAGGAGAAGAAAACCAATATGTGTGATACACTAATAAATAAAAGTTTTCCCTAAAGAAAGGAATAGGTTTATCAGTAGCAGTCAAGTCGAGAAATGGAATGTGCACTTTTTATTCTTTCTGATCCTTTTTTTTTTAAGATTAATTTAGGAAATTTACAAATATTACAATAGGAGGAATAGCAGGAATGCACTGCTTACATTAATAAAAGTCTTAAGTCCATGACGTGACCTCTGTGTAGATTTAGTAATTAATTAATGTTATTGATACAAATGAAATGTATGGGATACTTAAGTGGAGTTTCATAGTTGCAGACTGAAGTATTCTCTGGTTCTGCAGACTCATCACTTGTATGATCTTTCTTGCTTGAGAATTAGCAAAGCAAAATCTTTAGGAGATGCATAATAGTAAAAACATTTTGGATTAGTAGATTAGGGCTCTGTTACCCTCACTGTAAAGCTGTTCTTCCTCACATGGAGATAAAACTCCTTGTACTTCCATTTGTAGCTGTTAGCCCTTATCTTACCCATTTCTGCTTGTCCCCTTGTGCTGTTTATGAGTAATCCAGAAATTTGGCTATAATAGCAAGATCGTTTCCCTACAATGTGAAATTATGAAACTCGAGTTTCATGCAGTGAGCTTTTAGGATTTTTGGTCTCTTCCACCTGTGAAATGCTGAGTTTGGTATGAGAGCATGTGCTGCCAGGAACCTCTGACTCGCTTTGAAGCTATGGGGATTGCTTTACGAGTGTCTTTTTAGTTGGGAACATTGCTTGGACCTGCAAAATTAAGACACCCATGCTGCTTCAAGACTTAGCTAAGTCAAGATGCAAAAATTTCTTGAGGGAATAATTATTTTGTGAAATGTGGGTCACTGAATTCAGAATTCCTATGCTAACAGAAAACTCTTTTCTTATAAAGATAAAACTATCAAGCTATGGAAAATTACTGAAAGAGATAAGAGACCGGAGGGGTACAACTTAAAAGATGAAGAAGGAAAGCTCAAAGATCTTTCTACAGTAACATCACTACAGGTAAGCAGCTGTACCTCTTCAAAAATGCTTTTTTTGTTTGTTTTTCTGTACAAAGAAACTAGTCATCACACTGACTCAATAAAAGATTTAAATATGTTCCCAATGTTAAGGAAATATATGATTATCCTTCTTGAAGTTTTAGTTGCCTGATATCATCTTGAATCCATCACATCCTTTTCGAGTAACAAATGCTTTATCATATAGTGCCCAACCCAAAGACGTTTAGAAAGTTTATCAGTTTTATTCTTTCTGATAAAATTCTCTCAAGCATCACTTAGCATGCTTTCACACCAGATTCTTTAGCTTAATGTGCTGGAAACTGTCTACAGTTAAGAACTTCAAGGTGTCTTGTACGCCAAATTTCAATCTTTGTTTCAGGAATATAAAAAGAATTCCAGGAGGCTGTGCCTCAGTGAATACTGGTGTCTTTACAGCTGAGGAGATGCAGTCATGAAACTCCTAAGTGCATGTAAAATATTAGTAGTTTTGTTATTTGTAAAATATTAGTATTAGTTTTGTTTTCAGACTTTAATGTCTGAATTCACTTCTGGTGTTTTGGGAAAGGAGGATGCTAAAAGTAACAACTGGAAGGCCATGTGATATATTGCTCATACTGCCTCATCTTTTAAAAAACAAAGAAAGCCAATACTGTATATTGGGAAAAAACTCTCTATGAAAAGGAACACATGAATGGACTGCTGATCTGTTACATATGATTAAGGGGTATCCTTTTGGGTAGCTTATAGCCTGAGAATTCAAAGACTGAGCAAACCATTGTTTTTTTAATTGATAGGCCTTTTTTTTTTGTCCCTTTAGTGGCAAGCTCAGCTCTAAGCAACTTATCTTATCTATGTTCCTTTATAAACTATCTTATGAAGTGATGTATGATAGATTGGTTTTGGTGCATGCTCAGCTACACTGAATAGCCCCAATCATGAACCACTGCCTTACTGTGTTTAATGCTTTACCAAGAGGGAATAAATTGACAGTGTCTAGTTATTGAAGCATGACATTGAAGTGACAGACAGGGAAATAATGAGAGTGCAATGGTCAGTGATAGTCTCTGTCTATTCTTTGTAGGAGTATGCATGTGTGTACAGTATGTCAGTGCACATATTGACTCTGTTTTTAAGGATTCATTTTATATATTTTGGGGAAGTTATGCCCTTTTTGCTACTTTTTTTTTTTTTTTAAATTCACACATCAGGTGGCAAAAGAAATACTGGCAGTGATTTAGAATAGGCAACAACTCTTCAGGGACACCCCAGTACTAGGACTGCACTGTCTGCCTGCCAGTGCCAGAACCTCCTATGTGTGTGGGACAATAGCTCCTGGTGTGGCACTGGCCTGTTCCGTGGCAGCCACCAGAGTGTCCCTTCTGACAGTCCAGACTTTCCATCATTCTGCCTGGCTCTCCGTTGCTCTTTCTGTCTGTGCCTTGTCTCTTGGCAGGGATGCTCCTGCCCAGCTACTCATCCATGGAGCAATTCAATTTGCATGCACTGCTGGGAAGTTCTATAATGTCACCATCTTTGAATGCTTGCTCTTGTCCAGGCTCTCATCATGCCAGAAAAAGAACATATATAGCAGAAATTCTTAACTCTCCTTCTGGTTTCTGTTTCATTTCTCCTGCAGGTGCCTGTATTGAAACCTATGGATTTGATGGTAGAAGTCACTCCCCGGAGAATCTTTGCTAATGGTCACACCTATCATGTCAACTCAATATCTGTCAACAGTGACTGTGAGACATACATGTCAGCGGATGATCTCAGGATTAACCTCTGGCATTTAGCAATCACTGACAGGAGCTTCAGTATCCTTTATTACATTTCCTTGCTTAGTCTTGTTAGTATTGGTAGAGCCTTAAGATTAAAAATGTTACGGAGATTTTAAATATATACCTTACAATTATCAGAATTGCTGCAGTATGTATAAACAGAGGGTGTTCAAACATCACAACAGACAGGTAAGAGTTAATAGAAATGAGGGAATTCTGTGTGAAAAATGCAAATCTCTGAGTTGGTTATTTGCAAGTAACCATGAAACTGATGCCAACAGAACGGTATCTATCCGCATGACTATATTCCCTGTATATTCTTTCTTTCCTGAAAATGTTTTTTCTCGTTTTTTTTTTTGAAAGGTCATTCCTTATGCTGGCTGTAGCCAGTGTTCTCCATTTCCCTGCTTCCCAGAGCCCGGTGTGTGAGGTGGGCACAGTTTGGGGCATAAGCTCAGCTGTTTCATGCGAGCTGTTATGTCTGCGATTAATGTGGTCATTTCTGTATGGAGTGCTGGCACTGTCCTGCACACTGGGTTGTGGGATCATTGCAATCATCCGTGAGGATACCCCCCGCACAGCAACAGGATGGCTTGGATGAGAGGCAAAAGAAAATGGAGCCAAGAAAAGTGACTGTCTGTGATTTGCAGAACAAAAAGGGACCGGTAAGAAGGGAAATGGGTTGTTTCTTGAGACCAGCTGCACTTTGGTGATTTCTCTTTGGATTTCTGTGAAGGAGTGTTAGACATCAAAGGGCAGTTGTTTAACTGCTGAGTGCAAATTCCTAAAACAAAGCACCAAAAAGTGAAGAGAAGCTTGGAGTTTATTTTATTTTATTTTATTTTATTTTATTTTATTTTATTTTATTTTATTTTATTTTATTTTTTATTTTATTTTTTATTTTATTTTTTATTTTATTTTTTATTTTATTTTTTATTTTATTTTTTATTTTATTTTATTTTATTTTATTTTATTTTATTTTATTTTATTTTATTTTATTTTATTTTATTTTATTTTATTTTTTCCTCCCCATTTCTGATTTATCCCCAGCTCTCCCAAATCATCTGTGGAGCTTGACTCGCATTCTCCTAACAGGAAGAAATTTCATTGAGTCAAATAACTCTTAAGTCCTTAAAATACAAAATCAAACTGAACTACCTTTGCAGTATTAAATGGAGGTGCTTGTATCATGAGAATTGGGTGGGAATACCTCTGTTGATTTCCAAACTCATGTTCTTTTTCTGTCCTCCAGTTATCTAGATTAAGCATGTTAGATGGTACCCTGTTTAATAAGATGTTTTGGGAACTTCTTTCTAGGGTCTCTTGTTTAAGTTCCTTATGATTATAGCTGTGCTCTTCCGTCTTGTCCCTGTTCTGGCTGCCTCTATAAGCCTGCACTTTTTCCCTACTCCTTCCTGGAGCAAAGCAGTGAATTAGACTAAGCTTGGCAATCTCTGTATGATTACATATGATAGTGAGACCAGGTTCCAGGATACTTACACAAGATAAGTATTTACTTCTAGTGGTCCTTTTTGTTATGTGAAAAGCTGTTTTAAAAAAAATGGGGATTGCTAAGAGAAACCTCTCTGACAACATCTTAAAAAACAAATGCATATTTATTATATTTCGTGAGTACGATATGAATTTTTATTAAGTGATTCCCCATGGTAAGAGCTTACTGACTGCAAGAAATATCCTCCCCCAATGAATTTTAAACCCCAAATATGTGTAAATTCTTGAAAATGAAAGGCTTGCTATGGAAGTATCAAAGTAATCAGAACATAAGCATTGCTAATATAGAAGTGAAGAATAATCATTCATGAAGAGCCTTTTATGTTCAAATCCCTTATACACATCCTTACGGAGATTAAAAGGTTGGTAGATAAATATACTTGTTTCCTAATTTACTCATGAGGAAATTGTGCTGGAAGGTTTAAAGAAACTGCTATGTGTTTGGCTTCCAAAAATATTTCAAAATCTAGTAAAATACTAGGAAAGACCTGAAAAACAGCTTTTCTAGTATGATCGTAACTGCTACCATATGTCTTGATGGAACAGTGTGGACAACATAGGTACTTGATATTGAATAGCTCTGTTCAGGATCTTCTTGCTTCTTTTCCTGTATGTTTAACTGTCATACATGGTCACAGCTGCAAACTGTGTTGGAAGCAACAGCACCTTCCATTGTGGAATATTTACTGGTGAAAGGTTTTAGAGAGGTTGTAAATCATTGATTCAACCCTTAATACACTGCATAGCTCATGTATACTAGAATGCTCAGTTTCTACGTTTGTTTTAAGATTGCCCAAAGAAGAGGAGATTAAGAATATGTTTATAAGTGTTAGGACTGGATACAATTCCTGTATCTGGGACAAAGGCCCTGGGTTGCTTACCTGGAAAACTTTGGAATACCTGAATTTGTATCTGGGAATCAGATATAGCCTGTTTTTAGACAGGCCTGAATGAACACCTGGTGAGTTTGTGGTGAGAGAGCTTGGACAGTGATAGGAGACAACATTAGGTAAATGGATGCTCACTGTTAAGTGACAAGCTGTTCCTGCTACACGGGCTCCGCTGGCAGTGGATTGGCCTTTGAGACTGGGTACCGATACATATGCATGGATGTAGGCCATACAATCTCTAACAGATTCTCTCCACTTCTAATTCAGGTGATAACAGATATTATCTGTACTCCACTGTCTGATCCAGAGCATCAGATGGATGCATTTTACCTACTCAACTCAAGGATAAATAGAAAGTTGAGGTGGATGTTCCAAAATGCAAGAGCAAGCAGCTGGAAGGAGGGGGTGGGTGGTTTAAACTTCTGTCAGACTTTCAGCAGAAATCTTTCTGTCCCTAGAGACAATTGCAGGGACACATGAATCACTGGATTTCCCAGTCTGTCCCATAAGGACGTTTCCATTCGTGTTCTGTGGAAAGCACAAAGCACTCTTGGATGCAGATCAGCTTCTGGTGAAAATCAGGGGATGTGAGGGTTGCAGTTAGGACTAGACATATTAAAAAGAAAAAACTGTGCCAAGCAAACAGTTTAAATTATAAATGAATGTTGCTGGGCTTGGTGCCTTCTGCTGCACATTTAGGCAGTCTAAGGTTGGACAGTTTCAAAACTACTTAGGTCCCACCTTCACTAGATGCAAACCAGAAATGAATTCTGTATAAGGCTTGATTCCTTGAAATGCATGTTCAAAACTATAAATAAAAAATATTTTAGTCTGAAATGGCATTTGTTAATAAGGAATCTGGCAGCGATACCTATTTGTCTTTCTACTTCCCCTCCGAGGCAGCGCAGCTCCATATAATGAACTACAAGCTGTTTACCCGAGAGGCTGCTTGTGACAATGACACAAGCAACAAATCCAGCCTTAGAGTTTCTGGCTGTTCTGCCTGTGTTTGAATATCTTTACAGATTGCATGGGGAACACTGGAGACTGACAGATTAGCAGCACCGTGATGGGTTTTTTAAAGTAAAATTTGGAATTTTAATTGAGAAGAGTCGTGTTTTAGCCATTATTTTTAGCAGTCTTACTGAGAGTTCTTCATTTCTTAGCTCATGAGAAGACAAAGCAGTGCAGATCTCTAAGCTGCTTCTCCTTCTGGCTTTTATGGAATATATTTCAGATGAGCTTTCCCAAATTGACCAGAGTAGTTGCCTTAGGGAAAGCCTTAGGCAAATAAAATATAATTAGGGGTTTCTGTTTTGCTCCGTTTATTAGCATAAACACCAATTGGGATGAGATGCAGGCAAGTGAGTTTTAAGCTATGGCTCGATATATTTTATGAGCAATATCTGAGACTTACTTCTCACTTGCAAGCAGATTTGCTCAATATCTTCTGGCCAGGAGGAGGGAAGGGAGAGGAGGTGGGAGGAAAGAAAGGGTCAGCTACTAAATAATTGCGTGTAGAAGGCTTTCTTCACTAAAAGGTTTTAATGTGTTGGATCGTGTTGCAGAGAAAGGGAGTCTGTGTGCTTAATTATAGACGATATTCAGCGCTGTGGAAGGAGCAAGGCAGAGGTTGCTGCATTTGTTAATGTTCGGGCTGAAATGGCTCAGCCGCGGTGCCCGTAGCTTAAGCCCGCAGATAAGTCATCGTGGGTGCAGTGAATGAGCAAAGGGGCCTGCTGGAAGCACACTGATAAGGCTTCCTTCACAGCAGCAGCAATCTGCAGCCCATCTAGCTGTACTAAATATTCTTTATGAGGATATATTTGGATTGCTGGTGCAACTCTGTGGCTCCCAGCCCTTGAGCTGCCTTCATTTCCTGGCCGCACACTATTTCACTCTGGAGGCTGTCATGGCATTGCTATGGAAACAGCATCCCCATTTCCACTACGTACTCATCTTGAGACTCATCTTGACTAAAATACTCATTTCTCAGTCAGATCGATATAGTCCAGGGTTATCCTGCTTTAATAAAAAAAAAAAAGGAATCTTTCTCTCATGTCCCCAAAGGGTTAAGCTAATTAGCAAACCACCATCAGGCCTTTTTATAATCTAATATAGTCCAGCATTTGAGGCGTATAATGGATATGCACATCGTTAGGCACTGTATCTCGGGGAAAATACTTTACTTAATAAGTAAACAACAACAACAAAGCAAATTATTTTAAAATAAGATGGTGCCTGGGTGGAGAGCGGGTCTGTGGCAGGTGTGAGGGCACCTGAGGGACACGGGAGGCTCGGGGCCCTGGGAGCAGCCACGCAGCCTCCGCTGCCTGGCCCAGTGCTGGGCACCTGGGTGCCGAGCTGCAAACAACATGCGGGAATCTCTTGGCATCTGCGGAGCAGAAGGATGTGACTTTGTGTCCTCGAGAGAGAAGGTTCAGGTAAAAATTACTCCAACACGGTTGTGCACAAGCTGCATCCTCATCCCCCGCTGAACAAACTGCGTGACAGCTCGCTCTCCTGAAGCCTGGCTTTCCTCAAGCATTCACCTTTTCCAAGCGCCTAGAGGCTTGTTGTTCTTTTGAGACCTCTGTATTTAGCACTCCTGTTTTTAAAAGATGCGTACACATA